TATATATATATATATATGTATGTATATTTTATATTTACTGCCTAATTTACGAATTAAATTATTATTATTATTTTAATTGATTAATAATGAGATTGTAACAAATCAAATTGTCGTAATTCTTTGTTTAAAGAATTTTATACGTTACACGAATATGAGCGTATAACTAATTTGAGCGTATAACTTTATATTATGTTCAAAATAAATGATGTAGCTTTGTTTGTTCACATAGATTGTGCAAAATTTATTATCATACCTTCACTAGCAATTCTGAATATACCTAGAGTACCATTCATTTTCACAACACCTTTTAGGATTAATTTCGGTACTAGTGCGTCAATTTCTAAACGGAAAACATCATCAAGAAAGTGTGTTCTAATGTCATTAACTTGAACCTTCGCCAAACCGGTTATGATAGCATTCATCAAAGCAACTTCTGCGTGTATACCCTCTGAATTAAATAAAACTTGGCCGAACTTGTAAACTAATGGATCCAGTGATGGAAGGTCAAATTCTGGAAGTCCTACAAAATGAATAAACTATTATATTCACATTTTTAAGCAAACAAATCAAAGAATTTTTAATTATTTTTAATTTGCTTTAAATAAAGTGAAATTACAATTCATAAATTTATAGATTTATGATATTTTATTTACTATTAACGTTGATAATATTCTTCGTAATATTCTGTTCATATCGCAGTAGTGTAATTTTAAATATAAATAAACATATTTATTTAAAAGATATGTATAAATTAAAATAACTTATAAATTTTTAATAAAGATACCTTTGACAAACTGTGGAATTGCTTCTTCAAAAGCTTGTTTTAAACAAGCGGAATAATCAATTGAATTTCGTTTGCAGATGGTTGCAGCTAAATAGAAATATATAGAATAAAATGAATTAGTAGTAAAATTATAAAAATTAATAAATTATTTTAATAAAATATAATTCAAAACTAAGATTTAAAAAATATCTATCTTTTTGACAAGTATATATGTATATTCAATAGATTACGTTTTATAATAAAAGAAAACACATACAAATATTTTTTTACTTTTTTTTAAAATGATGTAGTTAATAATATTACGATATGCAATTCATCATTTATAATACTCATCATTTTTACGTATTATCCCTATTAAAACTATTATTCGTAAATGTGAATAACATTCATTTTCCTCAAAAAAACACGTGTCTAGCAAAAAAGTTACTTTTTATAATAAAACGATTAATAAATACAGAAGAGTAACTGTCACAATATTTAATTTAAGTATTTCAGGATAAGTTTGTATAACTGATCGTGTAGTTGTGTATTAGAATATGTTTTTACTTGTATATGTTATCTTAAAATTGTATAACATATCTATTATTTGAAGACATTCTTATGTCAACTTGACATTGATTTTGTACAGTACATTTTGTACAAATTTTATGCGAATAGAACGATACAAACAGATTTATAGATGTCAATATGCGATAATATTATTAACTGCTTAAGTATTGCGCAGTACGATAAATTACTTGCATCATAGATTTAACAAACTAATATTTTCATATTTTACAACGCATAATTATTGTACTTGAAAAACTAATTTATTAAACTGGAACTGATTAACATAAGTACACTAAATCAATAGCATAATCAATAGTGATTACTGTTATAAACGTTAAGAAAACTACGCAATCATGTTGCTTGGCATTTTTTGACATGAAATAAGAAAAGTGCGATTACGCAATTTGACATTTTTCTATCGGATTTTGTAATTCAGTTAGAAAAAAAATCGGAATTCAGTTAGAAAAAAAATAAAAAAGAATTATTAAAGAAGACTTACGGAAAGTAAATTCTCCAGATGCTAATCCAAATAATATAATACTGAATACATTAAGTAGATAGAAAAACATGTTGATCGTTCAGTATTCCAACAATTATGTAGTTTGATCGTATGATACACGATGAGCCTTCAGCTCTCAAGGTTTTCTGAAACAATAAAATGTAACGTTGATATGCACAGATATATAAATTCATTAAATATCTAAGCTGTGTTTGATGTTTCGATTTCTGATCAAAGAATAAATTATTTCTTATAGTTTTTTAAATAGTGAATGCATATGTATATAATATATAAATTATATATATTATACATATATTTAAATATAAGTAATTTGTATAGGAAATAAACTTTAATAAATATAAGATAAATAGAAACTCTTGAAAATATTAAATACAAAACAACAAGTACAAGAAGAGCAATTTTGTGCAGTAAATAATGCGCAAAAATTTTAAAAAGACGAAATATATAATTCATTTGATATAATTATATAATTATATATATAAGAGAATAAGTATTCTTTATTCATAATTGCATAATTGCAATAATTGCCTTTCCAATCAGCCATTCAATTGCATATTTTTCTTTGAGTGAAGAATTGATTGTCTGAGTATTGGTTGTCTGATGGTTTAACGACATATACGTTTTAAAAATATCGACTTAATGTATCCACTTAAATTATTACGGCAGAGGATGATTAAGAAAGAAAAGCTACTGAGATTTATATAAATATATAATTATATCTATCAAATTGCATATTGTCTTTTTAAAATTTTCATCTTGTTTATCACGCTGCCTCTTAATTATTCTTTTTATTACTAGTTACTAATGATGTAAAGTATCTAAATACATGTATCTAGTTATTATATTTAAATACTTTTTATGCATCTGCATATATAACTACTTACATTTCTTAATTCCGTAACTGTAACTGTAATCAATTATGTTTTTGTATCTCATCAAAATGTACTTAAAATAATATTTTAGATATATTTTTAGAGGCACTCAACCAATAGCGTATTTGATTTACTGACTCGATGCGACTCTGAGTCAATGGTTCTGTAAAAGAAGAGCTTAATTGTGCAAAAAAATGCAGCTAAAAAGAACAGATTATTGACTCGGAGTTGGGTCAAGTCAGTAATTCGAATACGCTATAATTACATGATCTAAGCAGAAATTAATTCAGCCAATGAGCGAGTTCATAAGAAATTAGGTTACAGACGATAAGTTTTTAGTTTAGTTGGCAACTCTCAAATTTAATCAGTTGATCAAGATTGACATTGATGAAAACAGAGAGAAACCATGAAATTGATTCTTAGAAGATTGCAAAGATTTAGTTAAAGATTAAAAGTGACAATAAACTTAGATATTTTTTATATTATATGTATAACACTATATATATATAAATAATATTAATAAAAACTGTATGTGAAACTATAAAATAATTCTACACAAGAATAAACAAACGTAAATATTATTTTACATAATGAACTATATATATATATTTAAAAATATATTTGTTAGTATGATAAGATAAACAATTGTTTAATACAATAATTAATTTGTTTGTGTAAAAAATAAAAATCCTTGTGCCTATATTACACATGTATGATGAAATTGTTAATTAATTATTGCGCCGTTATGTTGATACAAAAGAATTTTATACACTAGAACTTCGTAATAGAGTGCGATTTTGAACAAAGTTGTGCCTATTTTACTTCCAAACCACAAAATTCGGGACTATATTGGAGGTCGCGGTTCTATTGCTACCTCCATTCATACTTACATGTGTACGGTAAGGTTTTAGTACCGAAGTTCACTATTACGAAATTTCAGCGTATAATTCTCTATAGATATATATTTACTAAATTATTATTCTTTTATTAAAATCAAGAAGCATAAAATATAAATGTAATTAAATTTAAGTTTTATAATTGAAATTGAAAGTTAATTTGTAGGTAAAAAATGGATCGAAGAAAGTGGCAATTAAATGATTGGAGCAAGAACGCGAAAGAAAGAGAAAAATCAATGCTTTTGTAATTGTTACCTTTAATTGTATTTCTGTCGTAATCTAAATGTTGAGAATTAGTTTCTCTAATGTCGGCAAGTTCTTTCAATGCTAATAAGTTCCTTCAATGTTGTCAAGTCCCAAGTAAAGATCGTGTTTAGACTTCGCTCTCAGATCTTTCGTTTTGATGTTTAAATGTTCAGATGGATATTGTTCCACTTCTAATAAATCAAATTTTCAAGACTTGTCCAGACAGATTTTGCACATTTTTGTTTTGTTCTTTAAAAATTATTATTTGGTCAGATCTTATTACACAATGTATTTTGACGTAAGATTCTTGAAGATTACATTTGTCGAACTCGCGAGCTCAAATAATTCCTCAGTTCTTGTTTCTACGATTTTTATATTCCCCCTCTAGCTTCGTTCCCTTTCTTCTCCGTTTTCATTTCCATTATTTAACATTCACTGTATTGATTATTCAATATATCGATATTATCTAATTTTACTTTTATAATTTAAATGTCATTTTTATGTTGGCATTTAATTCTAATTTTTCCATCAATAAACAAATTATGTTTTTATAATTTATAATAATATTTTTATTTATGTTCTAATGTTTTACATAAAATTGAAATGAGAGTTAATAATAGATTGCTTCTCGCAATCAAAATAGCATTATTATCAAAGACCCTGATAATATCGGAAGTAACTTTCAAGTCTTATAACTTGAAAAGTACTTAATAAAGTATTATTAAATATTATTAAGTATTATTAAGTATTATTAACTTGAAAAGTACTTAATAAAGTATTATACTTTATTATAGTGATTCGTAAAGTTAGCTACAAAAATATGCAATCAAAATTAGAAATTTCTATTTAAAAATTTTATGATTTTTACGTGATCTATATAATAATGCTATCCAAGTCATACTAATTTTGATGTAAAATTCACTACTTAAACCCCTCTTCTTACAACTTCTTTCATATGAAATATTTTTTCTTTGAAAATATTTTATTTTCAAGACAACCGATTGTAAATCGGTTAAATTAAAATGGAATACTCTGTATAAGAGAAAGTAAAAATGTTTACACAAATAAGAGTTTAATGCCTATTACGGTCAAAGCTAGATATTAGATATTTTTAAATAATTTTTAAAAATTTTTAGTTTATGTAACTCTACGTAACTATTCCCTGGTAGAAATTTGTATAGTTTAACTGAACTAGTCAATAACTATCTAGTATTACTGATTTTCATATTATGTACCTAGTAGTATTACGTATTTTCTTTATGATACAAAAATACTGCTTAACAACTAAACAATATTAGTTAAAGCAGTTTTACTCTTCAATATGTGAGTCAATTCTTTACAAAAAGTTTGTATCAATATTAAACAAGTAATCCATTTTTTATCAGTTAAATTATGCAATGCTCACGTGTAATATAATAGTGTAATTATACTCGCTCTGTAAAGCATATACTTATATAATATATATAATTAAAAATATAAAAAGCGTGAAAAAACGTGTACAAAAATACGAGCGAAGAAAAAGAAACTTAAAGAATTTATAGAGTTTATAGCACGTAATCTTGTTACAAAGATTTTAAGAGAGATTAGAGAACAAGGAATAAACATACAGGCGATGCATTTCAACTATCAAAAATCGTATGCATAGCGGTTTCTAATTAAAATCTATATTGCCTGCACTTTATTTCCTGTTATTATTGCCTGTGCTTATCATTGCGTTTAAACATTTGTGCCCTTTGGACAATAGCGATAGCAATAGAAATAACACAGAAACAACCTATTAGAAGCCGTGTGTTCTAGTATACATATGGTTTCTGATAGGTTATTCTTGTATTATTTGTATCTATTCTCTTGTGCAAAGGGCATTTAGGAGAGACCGCGGATAAAAGTAACATTTTGACTTTAAAGTGTTATAACAGTTAAAATATAATATTTACATTTAAAAAATATGTACCTTTAGATGTAAAATTTATTTAGTTACAAAATTTCTTTTGGTTTAATTTTTTTGAGTAACTAGAAAAAAAGTTATGTTTGTTTAAAGACTATAAAGAATTTTGTTACAACCGTCCCAATCGTCGGGAACGATAGTAACGATTATGACAGTAGAAAGGGATAATTGTACATTTGCCAGAGGTACATAACACAGCTATTAAGTCATACTCTTTTTCTTCAGCAGCACGGAATGGATGATTGGTCCTTTATAACTTCTTTAAATGTCTGTTTGTATAAAGACACTTCTTTTATATATGTTTTTTTCTTGTCTTGTGTTTTCTTGTTAATGGAATTCTATGAAAAAAAAAAATACAAATAATATTGTACAAAATAATATTAAAATAAAATATAATATGTTTTAATGATTATCTGCGTTGATAGTTTCACATTTGAGTTAATTTTTATCCAGGTTTTTATTTAAAAAATTTACTATAAATCATAAAATATCATTAGGGGACAGTAGTAACATCAATGCTTGGGGTCAGTTGTAATATTACAATTATCCTCAAATAAATTTAGTAGACTGGTAGTGTCTCGGCGCTAAGCATTTAGATTACATAATTTTTTTTTATCTATTTATTCCTCTTACTGCTCAATAACTAAAATCAGATTTTGTATTGTATTTCTTTAATTGTTTAATTTTTAAAAAGTTCAATTCCTTATTTTACTTGAATCTAACTCTTGCGTAATAGTAGACCAATCATACATATGCATAAGATAAACAGACTACGATTAATTTTATACATTCTCTCGTATAATAATCTTTAATCGATGATGTAGAATTAAAAATAACTTATGATGAAACGTTTGAAATTTGAAATGTCATGCTTTTTTCAATAATAAAAATAGGTAATAAAAACTTGTTAAATTGATAATCGAGTGTCGATTATTAAAATTTATTGTTGTCGTTTTTCCGTGATTTGTACTGTAGGAAGAAATAAAAATAAAATGTAGTGGGAAATAAAAAAATTAGAAGTTAAATAGTGCACGCACAGCGATATCTATGTTATGTAATTAAATCATTTAGTTTTTGAAGTTACATGTTAATTAATTATTCTTAAATACGGATTTTTACATATTCATTTATATTTAAAACATATAGATTTATTGAATTTATATAATTTATTGAATTTTATTACGTTCTTAATTTAATATTATAAGTTATAGAATATCAGAGAGAGAAATATCCATATATTTTTTGCATTTACAAAGTTAAGTGTGTAACAATTTTATAAGGAATTTGACATTTTTTTGTATAATAAATATATGAATTTTATGGAAATATATTCGAGAGCGGGAACATTCGAAAAAAATTTATTGGCTTGTTATTAGCTTTAAAAAATCAATCAATCATGGATCCAATAAATCTGAAATAAATGGCAATTACTCGGTATAATACTGGCCAATATTCATTCACAAAAGTTAAAGTCAAATTATCTAAAAATAAAATAAAAATAATATAAAAATGTGTTCTAATTTACTTCAAAAAACAAATTAATGTAAAATTACAATATACATATAATCTTAGTTTTATAGACAATAATTGTTTTTGTTTTGTAGTTGCGAAAATAAGGAATATTTAGATAAGAGATATAAAATATAATTTGAATTTGTAAAATAATATATTTTTTTTTGTAAAATATTTCTAATTTTGTAAAAATTGAAATTAGTATTTTTATTTTTTGATATTATGATTTGTAACAAAATATATATTACTATGTTACGAATCATAATATCGAAACATAATATGTAGAAAGACACCATGAAATATTTTTTAAATATATTTTCTATATTTAAAAAATTTTTGAAGGCAGCTACTAATTTTGTGACGATTGCTAAGATTAATTTTAATTCTTTTCATTCCATTCTCATTGCTCGAAGAACTGATGCGCTTGTCCAGGGAGGGTCGGCAAAGCGGAAGATTTCTTTTTATTTACGTTTTGATTAAAAAAACATTTAAATGTTTAAGTTTTATAATTTTATTTTATTTCAAAGTTGATTCCTAAAAAAAATTATGAGAATAAAAAAGATTTCTGATTTTAATTATGTTATTTTAATTATGTCATTTTCCTTTCCAAAGAACCTTAACACATCCGCTTTGCCTGGAGTTCCCTATACCATTCATGTTTGAAATTATTATTATATTACCATAATAGTGATTTTGTGTAGTGGACAAAATTTATGTGACTGAAATAATTAATATATTCAAGTTAATGTATAGTAATTCCGTAATATTTTCTTTAAAAGATACATATGTACTGAAGAATTCTTTTTAAAAAGACTTACGAAGTTCAGTTTCTCCGGAGATAATCCAATCATTGCAATGTTGAATAGATTAAATAGAAAAACATAGAAAAACATTTTCTCTGTATAGTATATCTGCGAATAATGCAATTGATTCTGCGAACTGAGTTACACTGAAATCTCGTAATAATGAATCTTGAAAATCTTGAAGCATTATATAAACCCCTTTTACCCAAGTAGCACAGCAGCGCTTGCAAAGCGTTAAAAAAGCGGTTATATGCGTATTTTAGCATTTTGTTAACACTTTGTAAGCATTGTGTGCTACTTGGGTACACACATTTGAGTAGTGTGAGTGGAGGTAGCAGTGGAATCGTGGCCTCCAATATGGTCTTGAAGTACATAGTTTAGAAATAAAAGATGCACAACTTCGTTCAGATGCACTTTATTACAAAGTTTTAATGTATATATAATTTTAATTTACATTATTTAAGAGTTTTAATATTATATATAAATCGTAAGATCAGATAACGCTAGACATACAAAAAATAAAACATAAAAAGAGTTTATATCAAAATCTTAATTTTCTTTTATACAAATGTTCTTTGCTACTTATATGTTGTCGTTAATGTTTTTACATATCTGTATGCATAAAGAGAAAAACAATTGTTTAATAATTAATTTGTGTGCCGTATTGCACACCTAATATTAAAGATGAAGTAAATTTATATAATTTACTATAGAATTCTGTATAAATTATCATTTTTATGCAGAAAAACCTTAAATTTCGAAAGCTGAGAAGTAATAAATATACGAATAAAATTAAATTTGTTGAGTTTAATATAATTTTTATGTTAAAATTTAATTAAGTCACATTTAAAAGAAATATATTTATTATTTTACTGTGAATTTAACTCTTACGTAATAGAATAACAGACTCATTATGTAAATATATGAAGTGGAAAAAAATGATTTTTATTATTTTCTTGCTATATATGTATTATTTTTTTATTGATAATTTATAAGAGTTAAAAACAAATGATGATGATGAACATTTTTGAAACTTTTCCTTTATTGCGAACTAAAAGAAACATTTTTGGAGATGATATATTGATTATTCTTAAGGATTAATTATGATATCTAGAGATATAAAAATTAGAAGAGAAATAATTTTATATCGCAATTCATATTTTAATATATATATTTATTTTGCTTTTAAACAATGATTTAAAAATAAAGATTAACTTATAAAATAACTTACAAAATTGTAGAGAAGTAACCTGTATATGTTTGCGTTTAAAATTCTAAACATTTTTTATTTTATACGATATTTCTACTCTACTGACTTATACAATAAACATATAAATTTTTATGGAAATATTTTTGAGAAGGGCACTTTTGAGAAGAACTTATTTGCAGAGTCAATGAAAAACAATTCCAATCTATCGAACATGGATGATATTACCATTGGATAAATTGTTAGCCAGTTTTCATTTATAAAATTTACAACAACATCAGCTGAAAATAAAAATTGACATATAAAATGACAATGTATGATTTTTAGAAAAAAAAACCAATTAGAAAGATAAATGTAAGATTACAATATATGTAAATGTAATTAATTTTGATGTAAGATTTTATATTTGCAAAAATAGCAACAATAAAAATAGCAACGATAAAAAATATTAAAATAAATGATTTAAATTAGTAAAATATGTACTTCTAACTTTTATCTTATTTTAAATCAGTGATTATTTCGTTATTATAATTTGAACAATGCATAATTATATTAGTTGGAGTTGGAATTAAAAAAGAATAAACATGGTCAGTGATAATAGGCTACAGTATTACTATAAATATGAGAAAAAAATCAGTCTCATTACTTGATGGGCGAACTATATGTGTACAAATTATGGATTATTAATATTTAATTAATTATTCTAGGTAAACTTTTATCAAATAGCAAGAGAATTTTGTATGTAATACATAAATGTATATATTTATTGTTAAATAGGAAATCAGATATGAATCTTTGTTCAGGTAATTTAATTCCCATTGAACAATACGACAATAAATTACGTCTGGATTAGTTTAATATTACTTACTGATTGCTTTTTTTTCTTTGATCACATCATCATAATACAATTTAAACTTTCCAATTGACGGAACCAAATAAAAATGTTCTACAATCCATGTATCGTTTATTACATGTCCTGTAAAATTCGTAGTTCCGCTGACATCTTCCAAGATTAAATTATAATATCCTGTTAAAAATAATTTTAATCATAAAAGTACAAAATATTTTTTAATAAAATAGTAATGATTAAAAAAAATAATGATTATTTCTTTAAAATTGTTACTGTAAAAAATTGTTTATGTAAAAAATAATAATTATTAATTTTATATTAA